TGACAAAAGTAGCCACAAGGAGCTATGGTTACCAGCACTGGCCCCCGAGTCACACACACACTAGATTCCAGTCCGTCTTTGCACTCACTAGGAGGATTAAGTGAGACTATATGATGAGTTCACTTAATTTAGCACACTCTTGGCATACGGCAGGCACTCCATTAACGCCAGCTGTTCCTAGAGACCCACCCAGCAGAAGCTGGGCAGAAACCTGGCCAGAACTAGATAAACCCAATCTCGGAGAGCTGTCCGAGAGAGGAGGGAGAAAAGGGACGTCCCCGTCCCGGCCCCCCTGGGCAGGTCAAAGCCGCGGGTCAAAGGCTGAGGGCTCAGCCTCCCTCCCAGACCCCGAGCACTCACTGCAGAAGCCCATAAGGGTCACGGAGAAGCCGCTCTTGACAAACGACAGTGCGTGGTACTGCATGCGGGGGCTGCGGCCCACGTCGCCCAGCACCACAATGATCACGTGCCAATCCGCTCGCCCCCGCCGCCAGCGCTTCCACAGGACCAGCAGCAGCAGCAGCAGGGATGCGGCCATCACCAGCACGGCCACGCAGGAGACCGCCATCTTGGCCGAGCCGGATGGCAGTCACGTGACGGCCCTCTGTGGGCCGGGTGCTCAACGCGCAAAGACCCAGCCTCCGAAGTGGGCGGAGAGAAGGAAGGTGGGGAAGTGGTTCCCTAAGTGGCGGCCCACTGAACCTCCCAGGAGCCTCTGGGGGCCAAAAATTAGTGATATTAAGGTAAAGCTTCTTCCATGTAAGGATCTAGGAACAATTTTTTTCAAAATTCTAAGATAACTTCAAAATACAGTGAAGCAACAATTTGTATGACTCTCATCAGCATAACGTTAAGAAAAGAGGCCAAATGCCAGAGTACACACTGGCTGGTTCCACATATATATAATCAAAACCACACTTTAACTGTTAGAAGTCAGGAGAGTGACCTGCCTTCGAGGGTCGGGGAGTGAGAGGGAGGGAGCCAATGTGAAGCTGGTGGGTTCTCTCTACTAACCTGGGTGCTGATAAGGTGGGGGTGATCCTTTTGGCACAATTCATCAAGCAACAAACTTGTTCATTTTTCAGGATGTTATGTTGTACTTGAATGAAACACTTAAAATGTAAAGGAAAAGGACAGAAGGAAGTAAAAAATATGATTTTAAGTCTATGTCGTAAGGGAAATTTTGCCACTGACCTTTTCAATTTACCTTCAAAAATGGTCACAGTGAAGAGTTCAGTGTGTGTCCACGTGATAGCCTTTTCACTTTGAAATGGGTCCCCTTGCTAAGAAACATCGACAGCATGGTGGTGAAGCCACCCTCACTGCCCTGGATGGGAGCTGCCCTAGAACCTGCAGAGCACCACCCGCCCGCCAGCTGTCTAACGCGCTCATGCATTGGACAAGGAAACAAAACAGCTTCTCCTCCTTCAATAAGAGCCTAGACAGGCAGCACCTTGCAGATGTGTTTCCCGAGTCCCTAGAGCCCAGGTCAAGACTTGGCATATGCTTCCCACCATGACTTGTGACTCCTTTTTTATGGATAAGGACATTAAAGGCCACACCATTAGTCAGTATGTGACAGAGGCAGGGCTTGAAATTTTAGCTAAAGAGGGAAAGGAAAGATGAGTACATATGTACAGATGGGAGAGAGAAGCAAATAGACACTGAGGGCAGCCTCCTTAATCCCTCAGATGCAGGTGAAGGGTCTGAGAGGCTGGAGCACATGCCCTGCCCACTCTCTCCACCCTTTTGTGGTGAGATGGGGCTGGGGTCTGAGACCTCAGCTTCATGGGTTCCATGATCTGGAATAAGCCACTCTCAATCAGTTGGCTTTTCTGACGTGTAATTAAAGGAGGGGACTTCTCAGCTCAGCCCCTCCTGCTCTGATGATCTATGAGGAAAAGGACCAGGTGCCATGGATATGACAAACCAAGAGTAAATGTCACATTCTGGAAGCTGAATTCCCAGTTGGAAAACGAGTGAGGATTGTTTCTCTAGGGAGAAAGGGACAAGATGCATCACCAGCTTGGGGTGCTTTGGAGCTCAGCCAGCCCTGGCTTGTTCTCCTTGCCCACTTGGCATACATCACATGGAAATTTCAGTCCTTCCAGAGGTCAGGAGGGGGTTGTTTCCCCTTCCAGAGATGGGAGGTTGAACCCTAGCAGGATCACCTCATGGTTAAGCTGTGGATTCAAGGATCGGAATTCCTGCACACCTCATACTAGCTGTGAGGCAATATGTCACAAGAAGTCACTTACCCCGTCCCCTAGAGCCTCAGATTTTAAGTTATAAAAGGGAATAGCAAAAGTACCCACTTCAGGGTTGTTTTAAGGATTAACTAAAGTGGTGATAGTGACAAGTCTTACCTGGAACATTCATTCTCAATGGTACGCCCAAAGGAATAAAAAATAGTTGTGGGGGGGGGGGGGCGCGAAATCTAGCTCTTTTTATGTATAAGGCACAATATAGATACAGTACACACAAAAATATACAGTATGACTGCAGTATCATGGGGTTACCACACAAAAACATATGCATGAGGAACTCTCATACATCATCACTGGTAGGAATGTAAAATGATGCGACCCCTGTGGAAAATCCTTTGGTGGTTCCTCAATAAATTAAGCATAGAGTTACCACAGGGCCCAGCAACTGCATCCTAAGTGTGTCCCCAAGAAAATTGAAGACAGGTTTTGAAACAAAAACTTGTAAATGAATGTTTACTCACAATAGCACAAAGGTGGAAATAACTCAAATGTCCATCAGCTTATGAATGGATAGGACATAATGTGATCTAGACACGGAAGGGAATGTTATTCAGCCATAAAAAGGAATGATGTCCTGATTCATGCCACCACATAGATGAACCTTGAAAACGTTATGCTGAATGAAGGCAGTCAGACACAAAACATCATATATTGAATAACTCTCCATTTCTATGAAATGTCCAGAATAAGCAAATCCATAGAAATGGAAAGTAGATTAGTGGTTGCCAGGGGCTGGAGAGTTGAGGAGGCTGGGGCGGGGGTGGTGGGCAATGGGGAGTGACCACTAATGGTTACAGGTTTCTTTGGGGGAGGGGGCAGAAGGAAAATATTTCAGAATCAGACAGAATCAGACAGTGGTTGAGCAACCTTGTGAATATACTTTAAAAGACACTGCTGAATTGCACACTTTAAAAGGGCAAATTTTATGGTATGTGAATTATATCTCAATAAAGCTGTCGTTTTTAAATGTTCAGGAAAAAATGTATAAAAAGGCTGGCGGGGGTGGCGGAAGGAAGGAAGGACAAGAATGAAATTAAATGGTTGGCCTACAGCATGCCCACGGAGACCATCAAGATGCACAGTTTGGTGGTGGCATTTTTATTATTTTTACAGATCTGTAATCTGTTAACTGCAGCCCTTGGGACCAGATATGTTTCTAACTTCAGAATTTTTTGGACTTTAACATTATTACGGTGCACATCACGTAACCATCCAGCAAGGTTCAGGATAGCACCTAGTAAATGAACATTAAAATTCCCACAGGAAAACAGATGTGCTTTCACACTGAATGAGCTAATAAGGGCTGAGGGTCTTCACTGTCCAATACAGAAGCCACATGTGATTGCTTGGCTCTTGAAATGAAGCTAGCCTGAGTTGAAATGTGCCTCGAGTGTAAAATGCCAGATTTCAAAGACTTAATTTGAGAAAACTGATATTTTTAAAAATGTTACAAGGTTGATCATGTTGATATTGATTATAAGTTGAAATGATGTTTTGGATCCATTGGCTCAAATTAAATAGATCATTAAAATTCATTTCACCTGCTTTTCTTTACCTTTTTTTTTTAAGTTTATTTATTAATCTTGAGAGAGATTAATCTTGAGAGAGAGAGGGAGACAGAGAATCCCAAGCAGGCTCCACGCTGTCAATGCAGAGCCTGACGTGGGGCTCAAACTCATGAACCATGACCTGAGCCAAAACCAAGAGTCTGACACTCAGCTGGCTGAGCCACCCAGGTACACATTCTCTTTTTTTAATTTTTTAACGTTTATTTATTATTGACAGACAGAGATAGACAGAGCATGAGCATGGGAGGGGCAGAGAGAGAGGGAGGGAGACAGAATCTGAAGCAGGCTCCAGGCTCCAAGCTGTCAGCAGTCAGCACAGAGCCCGACACGGAGCTTGAACTCACAAACCAGGAGATCATGATGTGAGCTGAAGTCTGATGCTTTACCGACTGAACCACCCAGGCACCCCCTCTATTTTTCTTTAAATGTGATCATCTAGGAAATTTTTTCAGTACCCATGTGCTCTGTCTTTGCAGCTCATATTCTGTTTCTAGTGGCCAGGCAGGCAGGCAGGCACTGCCCTAGGGAGGCTTCTGTCTCTTCTGGGCAGATGTGCAGTCAAACAAGCTTATTCCAAATTTATTTTAAAAAAGAAAAAAAGTGGGGTACCTGGGTGGCTGAGTCGGTTGAGCATCCAACTTCAGCTCAGGTCATGATCTCCGTATTTGTGCGTTTGAGCCCCATGTCAGGCTCTGTGCTGACTGCTGACAGCTCGGAGCCTGGAGCCTGCTTCAGATTCGGGATCCCTCCCTCTCTCTGCTCCCCCCCCCCCCCCCCCCCGCGCTGTCTCCCACTCCCAAAAAAAAAAAAAACAATAAAAAAAAAAAAAAAATCCTTTGCGTTTCAGTGCTTTTTGATATCTAGAGTGTAAGTTCAATTGGGGGATCCAAAATGTAGACCACAAGCGTGGGGAATCAGGACTGAGAAGGAAAGGGTGGGAAGTTACAGCTCTAGCTGGCTCCATTCCAGGGCTGGCCTGCTCCCCACTGCCCCATCCCCCACCCCCTGGCAATCAGACCCCTGCAGCTGCCCCTCCCAGACACCTCTGCCAGGCCAGCCCAGCCTGCTGGGTCAGCCCTGCCTGCCACTCGTCTGCAGCGTTGCAGGGGAGGGGCAAGGAGGAAGGGGCTGGAGGAGGGTACGTGGGGGCGGGCCACCCCACGGCTGAAGCACTGCACCAGACTCAGCCATGTCCAGCCCAGGGCTCCTGCTCCTGCTCTTGCTGCTGTCAGCGTCACCACCGCTGCGACCCTCCTCGCTGGCACCGCCGGAAACCCCAGAAGGCAAAGCCACCATCACAGGCCTCATCCTCTCCCCGCTGGAGAGAACCATTTCCTTCCTGGAGAAGAGGCTGCCTGAAATCAACCGGGATGGCGTGGTGGGGTTCCGGGTGCTGGAAGGTAGGTGCACTCTTGTTATCCTAGACTGACCCCTGGAATACCAGCCTGTCACCTCTCTGCTCTGTACCTCTGGGACCTGACCACTTCCTGGCCACTGAAGTATCCTGCTCTAACTATAAGGAAAGAAGGGCTGGGCAGCTTGCTCCTTTTAGGTGTCTTGGGGCCCTGCTCTACTCAATTATTTTGGAAGCAAGAAGGATTCAGAGGCCACATGAGAAAAGATTGGGAACTTATTGTTTTCCCAGGAGGAAATGATTCATGTGACAACCCCTCTCCTGATACACCATGAACCAGGTGGGCAGAGGGAAGGTGCCCTTTCAAGAGGCATGTATGGGAGGGTGCCTGTGAACAAAGCCAGGAACTCTCAAGATCAGGTTCCAACTCCACTCCCCCTACTTCTAGCCAAAGCCATCTGAAGCCTCCCCAAAAATGCCAAGTGTTTGTTCAGCTTTCAGGGATGTAAGATCCTTGTGGAGGGAGCTGGTGACAGGCCAATGCAAGCAAGGAGCCACTCCACACTCACTTCGAGTTGTAGGAAGCCCCTCTAAGAAGGCCACCTTGACCTAAGTGACAGAGCTGACTTGGAATCAGCCTGGGGCTCTGGCTGGCCCCCCTTTCACACCACCCTCCTCTGGGTGGCCAGTGCAACTTGCCACCCACCACCCACCCAGCCTCCAGGTCCCAGTGGAAGGAGGGGCTCCCAGACAGGTCTGCTTCCATGCCTGGCGCCCCAGTGTCCTCCCCACACCCTTGACCCCCCATGTGGCATCCTGGAGACCCCTAAGATCCAAGATCCTCTCAAGCTAGGACCAGGGTTTCCATTTAATCCCAGGCACACCCTGTAACACCTCTAGAAATGAATTATAGTAATAAACCACAGAGCTGGCTACCGCATTAGGCACAGAATACTTTCAGGGATCCAGGAAAATGTTTTCGTTTCTCTTTTAGTCAGAAGGAATAAAAATGAACTTTTAGGTCAAAAAGAATGCTGTAATATATAACATAAACATATCTGTCTTTATACTAATGCAGTTGCAGGACATAACCTTTTTTTTAATGTTTTAATATTTTTTTAATGTTTTTCTAATGTTTAATGTTTTTTTAATGTTTTAATGTTTTTAATGTTTATTTTTGAGAGAGAGAGAGACAGAGACAGAGTGCGAGTAGGGGAGGGGCAGAGAGAATGGGAGACACAGAATCTGAAGCAGGCTCCAGGCTCTGAGCTGTCAGCACAGAGCCTGATGCAGAGCTTGAACTCATGAACAATGAGATCATGACCCGAGACAAAGTTGGGCGCTTAACCGACTGAGTCAGCCAGGTGCCCCGTAAGAGATAACATTTAATCTATTTTTTAAATCTTTTTTAATGTTTATTTTTTAGAGAGCATGAAGAGGGGTGGGGCAGAGAGCGAAGGGGACAGAGGATCCGAAGTGGGCTCCAGGCTCTGCACTGACAGCAGAGAGCCCAATGTGGGGCTTGAACTCACAAACCACAAGACCATGACGTGAGCTGAAGTCCGACATTCAATCGATTGAGCACTCAGGTGCCGCCAATCTATTTTTTTAATAAAGGAAGGAACCCACAAAGCCATAGCATGTGGCCCGGCAAACATGCCTTGGATGTTACCTGGGTACCGGCTGTAATCCCCAAACGCCCAGAGCTGGCAGTGCTTTGTTTTGTTCTTTCAGCACTTGGGGACTCTGAGGCACAGAGAGGTTCAGTAGACTCCTTATTCCTCACAGCTGATAAGCAGGGGGTCTAGTATTCAAATCTAACTGCTCTAACAGCCCTTGAGGGCAGGGTGGGCACACACTGACTTTCCTGACCACCCTGTTGGTGAAACACAGCACTGGGCTCCCTCTGAGCAGTGGTTGAATAAACATTCCTGAAACAAGGCAACAGACCTTTGTCAATAATAGTCCCATGGGTCTGTCAGTTCCTTATGAAGAGAGAAGGGAGGGGCAGGTGATTCCCTTGATGGAGTGCTTTCTGGGGTCCGTGAGATAATAAAAGATAAGGTTCACTAAGTACCCCCCAAGCCCTGGCATAATGTAAATGTTTGCATGGGGTAATTCACTGACCCCACATAACCCTTGAAGTAAGTTCATTATGATTATCCTCTTTTTACCAATGAGGGGACAGACTTTAGAGAAGGGGTCCTTGGGTGGTTCAGTTGGTTGAGCATCTAACTCTTTTTTTTTTTTTTAATTTTTTTTTCAACGTTTTTTATTTATTTTGGGACAGAGAGAGACAGAGCATGAACGGGGGAGGGGCAGAGAGAGAGGGAGACACAGAATCGGAAACAGGCTCCAGGCTCTGAGCCATCAGCCCAGAGCCTGACACGGGGCTCGAACTCACGGACAGCGAGATCGTGACCTGGCTGAAGTCGGACGCTTAACCGACTGCGCCACCCAGGCGCCCCGGTTGAGCATCTAACTCTTGATTTTGGCTCAGGGCATGATGTTAGGGTCATGGATCAAGCCCCACGTTGGGCTCTGCACTGGCCATGGTGCCTGCTTAGGATTCTCTCTCTCTCTCTCTCTCTCTCTCTCTCTCTCTCTCTCAAAAGAGAGAGAAAGAGAATGTCCAAGATCACATAGCAAGTAAGGTCACATAGTGAATAAGTGTAGGAGGCAGGCTTAGAACCCTGCTCTGACTGAGCTCCCATTCTCTGAACCATTACAGGGTAGAGGTGGCTGGGAAGGAGGGAGGTGATGGCCCGCACCAACACCACACAACAGCCTCAGACCAGGGCCACCCCCTCCTCCTTTCTCTCCTCTCCACAACTTTGCCCTTTCCTTTTACAGTAACCTACTGATGCCTAACAAATTATCCCCGAACTTAACTGCATAAAACAACATAACAGTTACCATGTCACCATTTCTGTCAGGAATCTGCAAACAGTTTGGGTGGTTCTGGCTCAGGTCTCACATGAAGTTGGAGTCAAGATGTCAGCCAGGGCTGTGATCATCTGAAGGCTTGAGCGGGACAGGAGGAACCACCCCTGTTCACTCCCAGGCTTGGCAAGTTAGTGCTGGCAGGTGGCTGGAGGTCTCAGTTCCTCACCACGTGGACCTTCCCATAGGGCTGCTTGGGTGCCCTCACAACATGGCAGCTGGCTTCCCTGAGAACAAGTGGCCTCACAGAGAGCAAGACAGAAGCCTCAATGTCTTTACAACCAAGCCTTGGAGGTCACACACCATTTCCCCAATTTCTTATTGGTTTCAAAGGTCAGCCCATACAATGCAGGAAGGGCTTGAAAGGGCATGAAAACCACTGGCTGCCACAGAACTCACTGTGAGGGTCCTACCTTCGTTCTCAGCCTCCTGGGAGAGCGAGAATGATTTCACATTCTAGGGGGCCCAATAGTAATGGGATATCCATTGGTTTTCTGAATCCTTCTTCTCAGAGGTAGACAGGTGGACATTGACCTTCAAAGAGAAAAGGGTCCCTCCAACTACCTCCACCCGCCAAGAGGGTGATCCAGAAGGTGGCAGCAGCAGCCACACAGGCAGGGAGGAATAGGAGAGATAGAAACACGACTCAGGACCCAGCACCACCATAAGGCCAGGTTGGGTTCATCTCATTGATGACTTGGCTACCCCTTCTGGGTGCCAGCACAGTACCCTCCTTCTGCTGTAGAGCCAAGCAATCTGGAACAAGGCTTCAGGAGCAGATGGCCTAGGTTCAAGGGCAGGGAAAGAGCCAAGCCTGGAGAAGAGTGCCACAGAGCCCATCACCCCGAAAGGTTTGCTTAGCACCCTCCTAAACCTCGCCCAACCTCCCCATCAAAGCTCTCCTCCTGGAGCAGAGAACAATTCAGGCCACCTCTTACCCTCTCAGCCCTGTGCTGAGGCTCTCCCTCCCATCTCCTCTCTTGACCACCTCTTACCTTCCCCCCACCACCATTTTCTCCGACCCCTGTAGGGCCACTAGTAATCCATAAGGCACCTTTGTGAAAATTAAAAAAAGATGTCTCCTTCCTCAAGTCATTTGCCTGCCATCTGCTGGAAACTTGGCTTAATACATACACAAACCCATGATAGGATTGTGTGCAGTTCTTGTGCAATGTACAACCTATTCAACTGTATACAGCAGCTCTCCACACTGCATCTGAATCCCTCCCTCATTTTTTTTTCTCCTGGACAGCAAGCCTTAAATGATTAATTGATACTTATATCTAAACTTTATTGAGTGCTTACTCTGTACTATGGACAAGGGTAAGTCCTCTCTATGCATTAGTTCATTTAATCCTTACAACTCCCCACTCCCAAGAAGTAAGGGCCATCATTACCCCCATTTTATAGATGAAGAATGTAAAATGGAGAGAAATTAAATATCTTTCTCTGGTCACCCAACAAGAAAGTATCAGAGTCAGGATCTGAATGAAGGCTCACCTCCAGAAATCAAGCTCTTGGCTGCCAATTTCCAGCACTCTAGTGCCCCCACCACCATCACCCAGCTGAGCCCCACAAGGTCTAATTTCCAATAAGCTCAGTGAATTCCTTCTCCTCAGGAGCTGGAGGAGGCAGAGAGGCTCAGTAAGCATTATAGCTTAGGATAATTTTTCCTGTCCAAATGATTCGCCAAATGATGGAATGAATGATCTCTTTTCCTTTCCAGTGCAGCTAAAAGGTGTTCAGGAAAAATGGGCTCAGGACCCCCAGCTGCAGCCGCTGAGCCTGAGTGTGGGGAAGCTGGTGGAAAAACTAGCACCTCTCCTTCACAGATCCATTTTCTACCTCGAGCTGAGTGACCCTAAGTACCTAAGAGGTAATAGCAGGGGTGGGGGGTGGGGATCTCATTTCTTCAAGAACACAGCAGCTGGGGGTGCTCCTCCCAGTGTAAGGGATGGTCTGGGACAACCTGTAGCCAATTGGGTCCTGTGGGCGAAGCACACCGCAGGCTGACCCTGAGGAATGTTTGGGCATCCTTGACTGGGTTGAGATGACCTCTCCCACCCACACAGGGAGTGGCGCAGTGAGGGCTGAGAGTAGGGAACATGTCCCCCCTCATTTGTTTAGCTCCCCCCAGGCTTGGGAGCCTTCATCCTAGACCGGAGGGGAGGGTCTGGTCTGTCCCAGAGAGTGGGATACCTCAAAGGTAATTTAGCCCTTTGTGCTGCCCATATTAGCCTCTTGCTAGTATCTCTCTCGTGCCTTATAATGCTAAGAGTCTCTGACCCACCCTATAAACCTGGAGTGAATCATTGCTGGGGGTGGTGGAGGGGGGCAGCCGCTCATACTTGTCCAGTCCTGCCTCCCAGGCTCCCAGCTCCCAGTCAGAGGTGGGAGTGAGTGGGGGATAATGGGCCAGTCCCTCCCTTCCTTCTCAAAGTCCTGTTGCATGTGACCATACCCAGCCCTCTCTACCTCCAACATCCAGGTTCCCCACCCTCTCCCAGGCCTGGCCCTTGGGACTATCCCAACCTGTGTCATCCTAAAGAAGCCCTAAGCTGGGCATCTTTTTTGTAAGAGCTCCACTTTCTGGCCAGACCAAAGGAGTCAACTAACCCGTTTCGTGTGTCTCAAACTTCCAGGGGATGCAGTAGATTTGGTCAAAGCCTATCCCAACACTATTCCTATAGATTAAAAAAAAAAAAAAAAGTGTTTCCTGAGTGTTTCAAACACAATGTGCAACCAGCAGACAAGGTTCAAAGCCCTAAGCAGGCACTTGTGTGTGGTCAGGGGTAACGGGGGTGGGACGCCTAGTTGCTTGGCTTGGAGTTACAGGAACCTGGGGGCAGCAAGGTAGGGGATGGCCCACGGCCTCTAGGTGTTTTCCCCCACCCCCACCTCTCTGCCTGAGTTCCAATCAACCATCCAGCCTGGGTTTTGGAAGCTTCCCCGTGCCTGGACCTGCACAGATGCCTCCATGGTCTACCCCACGTTTGAGACTCAGGACTCCTTCTCAGAGGAAAGCAGTGACTCGTGTCTGGTGCAGCTGCTGGGAACAGGGTGGGCCTCCTGTACTTGCCCTGCTTCCAAAAAACCCAAAAGTACTTGCTCTTTGCTTGTCCTCTCATTCCACGCACTCTCCCAGTCCCCAGGGGTCTGTGTGAAACCAGGTACAGCCACCCCCCACCCCAGACACCAACCTCTCCCACCCCCCATGGCACCTGAGCTGGCCCCCACTGTCCACTCAATACTTCACACCTGGTCCAAACATGCACCTCACCCCACTCCACACCCAACCCGTCTCCCATATCAGAGCAGTCCTTTCAAAAACCACATTTGAACCTCCTGCCTGCTGTGTGATGCTTCCTATTGTTCTCAGAACAAAGCCCCAAGTCCTACTGCCCTTCCAGGTCTCCATGTTTCTCTAGTCCAGCCCCTGGGGCTCGTGTCAGACTCTCACTGTCAGACAGACAGTGCCTACTCTGTCCCACTTCTAAACCCGCGCCTGTGCCCATCTGGCCTCTGTGGGCCTCTCCCACCCTGCCCCACCCCTCCCCCATGCCTGAGTAACTCTGCTCATACTTTAGGGCCACCCCCAGCATCCTTCCTCCAGAACCTTCCCTGACCTCACTGTACAAGCTGACCTCCCGTGGTGGGCTGGCTCTCTTAGCACCACTGGTAGCCATAGGTGCAATTTACATTTGTCTTATGGTTCTGCCCCTCTCACTGGGCTGTAGGTCTCCGAAAGCAGGACTGGATCCCAGTTAACTTACCATTTTATCTGGCTGTGCAATGGGCTCGTGAGCTTGGAGCAAGCCCTGAATCAGCCTGAGGTTCAGCGATCTGCTGTTTAGGGAAGGGTGGAAAGGTTGTACTTGGGGGTTCCAAGGTGCAATAGGAAGTTGCAGCCTCCTGGAGCTCCTCCAACCCAGGGTAACTCCAGTGTCACCTCCCCTGTGCTGGGATACTGATTTAGCAAATCAAGTCACAGTACACCTGTGCTTTATCCAGCAACCCCTTGTGCACAGCTGGGTGCCTGGAAACTACCGGGGTTCTAATAGCTAGTGGGGGAATAGGGACCAGGGAAGTCTCCATGTCCCCAGGCTTCCTTTAGGACACCCTTTCTCTAGGGCCTGAACCACTTTTCCCCCAGGACCGACAGTGGCCAGCCCTGCAGGCTCTCAGACTTCTGCAGGACCCTCATGACCAAGTCCGGCTGCTCAGGCTATTGCCTGTCTCACCAGCTGCTCTTTTTCCTCTCAGCCAGATTGGTGAGTGCCCATGTGGGCTAGCCACACACTCAGAGGGGGAAAAAAGGTAAAGAGGGGCTGGGGGACCTGGGTGGCGCAGTCGGTTAGGTGTCTGACTCTTGATCTCGGCTTGGGTCATGATCTCACCGTTCATGAAGCTCGTGAGTTCAATCCCTGCATCGGGCTCTGCATTGACGCTGCAGGTCCTGCTTGGGATTATCTCTCCTTCTCTCTGACCCTCCCGCACTTGTGTTTTCTCTCTCTCTCTCTCTCTCATCCTCTCTCTCTCTCTCAAACTAAATAAACAAACTTTAAAAAATGTTTTTAAAAGAAGAAAGGTAAAGAGGGACTTTGGCAGCATGGTTTTATATGGTACCTACCAGGAAAATAAGCAGGTTTTTGGACTTGCGCCTTGGGCATTGGGAAGGAGTAGTAAAAGTAGCCTGCCATAGGGGTGTGTGCATGGCTCAGCTGGGTAAGCATCTGACTCTCAGTTTTGGCTCAGGTCATGATCTCACAGTTCATGAATTCGAGCCCTACATCAGGCTCTGCGTTGACAGCACGGAGCCTGCTTGGGATTCTCTGTCTCCCTCTCTCTCTGCCCATTCCCCGCTCATGCTCTCACTCTCTCTCTCACTCCCAAAATAAATAAATATTAAAAAAAAAAAGAGTAGCTTACCATCTGCCCACTATAACATTGAACCAAACTGGAGGGGGGGAAGGGATTCTGTTGGACAGATAGCTTTGCATGCTGAACTGGATCATAGGCATCCAGAAAAAAAAGAGAAAGAATAAAAGAGAAGCAGCAGAAAGAATTTAGTAAACGATTCTGTAAACGATTTAGTAAAGGGATTCTGTTAGATAGCTTTGCATACTGAATTGGATCATAGGCAACCAAAAAAAAAAAAAAAGAGAGAGAGAGAGAGAGAGAAAGAATAAAAGAGAAGTAGCAGAACGAATTTAGTAAACAATAACAAATTGAAAAGGATTTAGAGGGGCGCCTGGGTGGCGCAGCCGGTTAAGCGTCCGACTTCAGCCAGGTCACGATCTCGCGGTCCGTGAGTTCGAGCCCCGCGTCGGGCTCTGGGCTGATGGCTCAGAGCCTGGAGCCTGCTTCCGATTCTGTGTCTCCCTCTCTCTCTGCCCCTCCCCCATTCATGCTCTGTCTCTCTCTGTCCCAAAAAATAAATAAACGTTGAAAAAAAAAATTTAAAGAAAAGGATTTAGAATATTTGGTCCATAGCAGCTTCCAGAAAACAAAACCAAGACAAGCCAGCCCCACCCCCACCTCTGCAGCCTGCCATGCTCTTCCAAGCCCAGGAGCTCAAACTTTGCTAAATAATGATAATAATTTATTTTTTTTTTTATTTTTTTTTCAACGTTTTTTATTTATTTTTGGGACAGAGACAGACAGAGCATGAACGGGGGAGGGGCAGAGAGAGAGGGAGACACAGAATCGGAAACAGGCTCAAGGCTCCGAGCCATCAGCCCAGAGCCTGACGCGGGGCTCGAACTCACGGACCGCGAGATCGTGACCTGGCTGAAGTCGGACGCTCAACCGACTGCACCACCCAGGCGCCCCGATAATAATTTCTTAAATGTTTATTTATTTATTGTTGAGAGAGAGAAACAAGCATGAGGGAGGGGCAGAAAGAGGGGGAGAGAGAATCCCAAGCTGTCAGTGCAGAGCCTGATGCGGAGCTCAATCTCACAAATCATGAGAACATGACTCGAGCCAAAATCAAGAGTCAGACTCTTGAGCAACTGAGCCACCCAGTCGCCCCAATAACGATAATAATTTTTAAACATATATATTTCCTTATATAGAAAAGTAAGCCTCATTATCTCTATTGAAAGATGTTATTCCATGACCAGAAATCCTTAGCTGAAAAGGGACTTAATATTTTTGTTTGTCAGGTTTTTTAAAAAATGTTATTTATATACAGGCTGTCACAGTCCAGTATTTCTGTAAATACACAAAAAAATCAGATTACGAGGAAAATTATTTTTTTAATATAATGTCAATTATTTTTATTAAATTATTTAAAATTAAAATTAAATTTAAAATTAAATTAAAAATTTTTAAATTTAAAATTATTTAAAATTAAATTATTTTAAATTATTAGGTTGGACGGATAGAAAGCCACTCTGACACATTGCTACAGAAGTTTCTAAAGTCTCTTCTCATCTCCTAACCTGTCCCTGAGACCAGTCCATGGCTCACAGTTTGAGCAGCCCTGAAGCTGCCAGCTGGGTTAGCCTGCAATCTGAATGTGACAGCAGCTACTGCTATAGTGTGTCCTTCAGTGTTGGGCTTGTGTCAGGGCCTTCCTAACTATGGAAGCACCCATCCATGTGAGTGCCTTTGGTGTGGCTCCCAGCAGCATTGCCCTTTCCCTGTGTAGACCCTCGAGGCTCAGAAAGGTTAACTTAGCCAGCCAAGGTCACACAGCTCCTGAGTGGCAGAGCCTGGATTCAAACCCAGCTCTTTCTGATCCCCCAGTGACAGAGCCCCCAGCAGGTGGGGTGTGTAGATGGGGAAGAAATTCTGGGAAAAGGGGAAAGAGCTTCCCCAAAGGCAACCACCTGCCAGACCATCTCAGAATTGCAAGTCTTCTGTAACAGTGCCAGTCTGTCACCCATGCCACTGACTTCCTTATTTCCAGGTGTTTGTCTCCCCAGAAGGGATGCACGGAGGGGCTGTTCCGCCACAGCCAGCACTACATGAACCTCTTTTGTGCCAACATGATGGACCTGAACCAGAGAGCTGAGGCTATCGGATATGCGTACCCAACCCGGGACATCTTCATGGAGAACAGTGAGCCCTGGCGTTGCACTCTAGGGACAAAGCAGTTGGGTGTCCCTGATTCACAGGGCACACACACACACACACACACACACACACACACACGAGCTGCCAGATATAGCAAATAAAAATACAGGGTAAATTCAAACTTCAGATAAACTAAATACATTTTTATGTATTTAGTATGAGTATATCCCAAACGTTTCATGGGCTATACATATACTTTAAAATTTGTAATTGTATTTATTGGACACTCAAATTTAACTTGTCATCCCATATTTTATCTGTCACTATGTGACTGCTTCCTGCCCCCAAAGGCTGACTCAGTGATGGAGCTCTGGACTGAGTAGCTGATGGGCAAACAGACGTTGAAGCCTCAGAGATGAGGCAGAAAAGGGGTCTCTGGGTGACTGCTCCTTAGCTTGGGTGTCTAGATCCCTCTACTGACCCCAACTCTTGAGTGACTGTAATGAAGGGTCTAAATGGGAGGCAGGACCTAGCCTGGGAGCTGCCTTCTTCCAGCCACTGCATTGAGCGCCCACTTCCTGGCGCTTCTTCACCTTGGCGGGAGGAGGCAGGTGGCGCTGTGCAGCTTTGAGCAGTGGAAGCAGGTGGGCTTGGGGGACAGGCCTGTAGGAGGTCCTCTGTCTTTGCTTCCAGTCATGTTCTGTGGAATCAGTGGCTTCTCAGACTTCTACAAGCTCTGGTGGCTGGAGGCCATTCTCAACTGGCAGAAGCCAGAGGAAGGATGCTTTGGGAGGCCTGGTGAGCTGCACTTGTACCCTGGCTGGGAGCAGGCGGGTGGTTGGGGGCTGGATTTCTAGCCCAAGTGAGGAGAGGTGATGCGGTGGTGTTAAGGGCTCAGAGAGAGATTTTCAACATGTATGTGCGTGCAAACACACACATGAACACTCACACATACACGGAAATGGGGTCAGACCTTTTAAAAAGCCAAAACTCTGCAGGAGGGGAGACCGTCTTATTGGAAGATGTTGGCCCCGTGACCTATATTAACAAATCCATTCCTTCAATGAGTATTCCCTGAGCACCTGCTCTGTGCCAGACACTGTTCTAGGCTCCAGGGGAAACTAGGGTCCGAAGAAAAGAGGCAGAAACTACCTAAATTAACCAATAAGTGAAATAATGGTGAGTTCTGATAAGGGCTGTGAAGGAGACAACAGGCTGAGAAAGAAAAGACTATGGAAGACAGTTCTTTGGGCAGGAGTGGTCAGGGGAGATGTCTGGGAGAGGGTGACACAGAAGCAGAGACAGGGAGACAAGAGATGCAGCCTCTTTCCAGCCGTGTGACCCTGGGCAGCTGATCCTCTTGGGAGTAAGTCCCTTCACCTCTCTGAGCCTTGATTTCTTCATCTGTAAATAAATAACTGTAATAATCTCCTTCCTGAGCTGTGAGAAGTAGACTTAAAACATAGGAAACCTCCTGTCCTGTGCATGGTACAGAGGAGGTTCCGAATAAATACAGAAGCCTGGGATGTTTTGCAAGGAGGCAAAGGGTTGGTTGGTTGGTTGGTTGGTTTTTAATGTTTATTTATTTATTTTTGAGAGAGAGAGAGAAAGAAACAAAACACGCACACATGAGTGGGGGCGGGGCAGAGAGAGAGGGAGAGTGAATACCAAGCAGGATCCACACCATCAGCACAGAGCTTGATTCGGGGCTCAATCTCATGAACCCAACCGTAAGGTCATGACCTGAGCCGAAATCAAGAGTCGGAAGCTCAACCGACTGAGCCACCCAGCTGCCCCAAGGCAAAGCTTCTGAAATAAAGAGATAGTCTGCTTTTACAACAGCAGGTACAAGGTAGGCCTGTGGAACATGCATTTTTAACAAGATCCTCCAGCCATTCTGATGTAGGTGGTTGGGGGACCATGACTGGAGAAACATCAGTAGATGACAAATTTAGACAGTGGGTAAGGATCTGCAGACGGGTGCTCAAGGAACCTTCTGGAAGAACCTCCAGATTCAGGAGAAGATCTGAGTTGTTTGAGGTGTTGTGAGGGGGAGGAGGTTTGGTGAGTAATGTGTGAAAATCCATCATGAGAAGGTCACGTTTCACCCTTCTCCCAGCTGCTGAAGATGAAGAATTATTGACAGCCATTCAACACCAACAGCACATTTTAAGAAGAGTGAAGAGGCGAGAAAAACAATTTACAGGTAATGAAAATACCCAGGGACCTTCTGGGCGTGAAACCAGGACACCCTGGAAAGAGTGCACACAGGTTGACCTCAGTGGAAAAGTCCCCTGGCATCCCTGAAGGGCCAGGTCTGGGGGGTAGAGGGCAGGGTAGGAAGTGGAAATCCAGAGGTCTTGTCTCCAGTGAAAGGAGCATGAAGGAATTTTCAGTGTGTTACTGAAAATCACAGAGATAACCCTTCTCAGACAAGGTCACGTTGGGAAAACAGAACCTGCACCAGGAACTTGAGGCAGAGGGAATTTAATATAGGGAACTCTTCTCAGAGGTGTTGCAAGAGTTGAACACAGAAAAGTGAGAAAACCCAGAGATAAATCATTGCAGTAAGCCACTACCCTCCCTCGAGGCAGAGCTGGAGAGACTGTGGAGCAAAGTGGGGTTAGCAGAGCCTGCAGGGGCTGGACATGGAGGAGGCAGAGATGGGGAGGAAATACCCCGGCTTCTCCACTCTTTCAGCCTGTGGGTGTTGTTGCTCAAACCTGACCAGATGATGAGCGAAGTATCCTGGGAAATGTAGTTTGGAAGGGTCAGTGCACTGTGGTTTGAAGCAAGAAAGGACAGGAGGGAATCCTCGAGCCAGCCGGCAAGTGACCAGTATAATCCCGGTGACCACATGTCCAGATGTCCCCAGCTTCCATCTCTTCCTGGAGCCATTATAAATAGTGCCCCCTTTCCTCCCCAAAGTGTCCTGATTGAGATAATAAATTATTTGGTCAGTCCACCAGTGTAGAGAAAATGAGAATAAGATATAATTGTATTGAGAAGGGAAGAAAGAAAAGGTTTAATATGGGAGGAAGGGAGGGGAAAAGAGAAGGAGGGAGAAAGAAAGAAGGAAGAGAAAACTTGATTTCATGTTTTAAAATATTTATTTATTTTGAGACAGTGTGTGTGCACAAGCTGGGGAGGGGCAGAGAGAGAGATGGAGAGAGAGAATCCGAAGCAGGCTCCACACTGTCAGTGCAGAGCCTGACGCAGGGCTCGAACTCAAGAACCGTGAGATCATGACCTGAGCCGAAACCAAGAGTCAGACGGTTAACCAACTGAGCCACTCAGGCACGCCCATTTTTTTATTCAGAAAAAATAAATAACTGCAAGACAGACGCAGAAGGAGGTGGAACAGCCAGCTCACAGAGTAGATGCCCAGCATATGTTGGTGAATGATCCCAATCACGAAATGCCTCCCCATGAGCTCCCCTGCAGCCGCATCATCTGCCTGCAGGTAAACAAGAGGGGGAAGCATAACTCCAATGGGTTGTTTTGTAGCTGTCACCAAAGGCTGGGCTGGGGAGAGGAGAAAAGTTCTCTGGAGATTCCAGAGGCCCCTGCCCAGACTAGGCCTGCCTGACACAGGGGGCTGGGGCTACCTATGACCAGGTGGTAGGGGGTATGCTGTGCACACCCTGGAGAGCTGGCTGCTCCCTAGAGGCACACAGCTGAACCCCAGGACCGTCCTGAGGGCTGGAGAGGAAGCTGCAGAATTTCTGAAGGCCGAGGTCCTTCCTGGGCCCCTGCAGATCGACAGCAGTCTAGGAAGCTGCCCAGGTGGGAGTGGTGTTTTCTCCTTCCTTCTGCTGCACACCTGTGGAGCAGGGGGGCAGCTGGCATGGAGATTTAGAGTACAGGGTTTGAAATGATGCTGTCAGGGTTTGAATCTGCTTCCGCTCCTTCCTCACTGTGGCAGTCACTCAACCTCTCTGAGCCCCAGTTTCTTAATCTGTAAAATAGGGACCTAGCAGTGCCTCCTTCATAGAGCTGTTGGGGGTTAATATCAGTTCACTGTGCAAAGCACTCCCCATGGAACTTGGCATATGTTAATGTGGACTGCTAGAGTTGGTAATTAGGCTCCTTGAAACCTGCATTCTCCCTCCCCCGCCAAAGGACCTGGTTGGGGTCTGTCCCTTCTCCAAGACTCTGAGGGGAGAGGAAAGTCCTGGCTCCTTCTCCTGCTCAGGAGTGAAAGGTGGGCATCCCACTTTGAGTTCAGAGAACTAAGTAACATTTAAGGAGTTTTTGTCTCAGGCAGGTGCTCGGGGTCACCTGGGAATGGGCAAGACTGAGGCAGCAATGCAGGAGGCTGTCAGGGTCAAGAAATGAGCTGTGGAGTCGCCAGAGCTGGGGAGCTCGGCTGTGCTACCTGAGCCTCAGTTTCCCTATATGCAAAACAGGCATGGGGGGCTGTCCTAGAAGGTCTCATGCAGGGCCTGAGAGCAAGGGAAGGTGGGAAGGAGCTGGACAACGATGTGGCTCCTGGTCAGATCCCAGGGGAAGGAGGCTCTGGAGTGGGAATCAGACCTGAGTCACCCCCCTGAGATGGAGGGCTAGGCTTTTGTGTCCTGTATAACTGAGCCATTGGAAGGAGGCATGACGTCCCCAGTGAGGAGGCTCCAACTGGCTGAAGTCATTTCTCTGGAGAAGGGAGCCATTAGTGACCAGCACTCATAGCAGCTGGGGGATGGGTGGCCGGCCAGCAAAGGGGATCTGGCTGGCTGAGAAAGTATCTGAAAAGCACTCATAATGGAACTGTGGCCACCACACAGTACTCACAAAGAGGACTCTCTCTCCCCAGATGGCTGCTCCTCCCACAACACAGCCATGGCTGTCGCAGCCCTGGGTGGCTTCCTCTACGTCCTGGCAGAATACCCCCAGCAAATGGAGAGCTGTGGCAGTCCGCACTGGCACGACCCAGCGGCCACTGAGACAAATGGTTCCACTCCTGCCCCTTCCTCCCTTAGTCCCTTAGTCCTTCCTCCCTTAAATCCTGGGTGCCTGGGTCATACCTTGACCAGGAGGAAGCTGAAGACGCAGACTAGCCAAGCAACCCAGCTTCTCCGCACGGAGCAGGGCCAAGGAAGGTGAGGCTGGGATGGATCCAGGCGTAGAAGCAGAGAAATAAATTCAGAGTGCCGTCGAGTGGGGAGTCGAGTGTTGTTTCTCAGCCGTGTGGACAGCTTTTGTTTCAACACAAATTCCAAGGAGACCCATAAACTTGAGCCTTAAAGGCAATTTATGCAGATGTCAACTGTTGTGTCTTTCCCAGTGGGAGAAATGAGGGTCTCCGAACCTGACAGTTGGAGTCATGACCGAACTTGAGATCTGACCACGAAAAGCAACACATAAACTCTTTGTACCCATGCAAGGAACTCTACACTATCATGTCACAGCCTGTCACAGCCTTGTCATTTTACAGAAGGCAGTGTGACATAATGGTTAAAGATGAGGTTCTGTGTCCAGGCTGCCTTGAGTCCACATCCCAGCTGCCCCACCAAGTAGCTCCGTGTCCTTGGGCGAAGTCATTTAGCAGCTCTGTGACTCTGTTTCCTCATCAGGACAGTTGGGATCATTACAGCACCTACCTCCGGATTACTTGCAGTGCTGTGAGAATCATGTTCTTAGTGTCCTAAGAACAATTCCTGTAACATAATAAGTGCCAGGGGAGTGTTCCCTGCTTGTACTTCTTCCTTCGTGTTCTGCTTCATTGTGAGTATATCTAAACATGTCAGCTAGAATTCCTTTTTGTTTTCAATTAATTTATTTATTTTGTTGAAGTACAGCTGCCATACAATCTGCTGAAGCTCTGACACTAATCTAGTATTCAAGGAAATGCCTTTGGAACATTACCACGGGTCCAGGTGGTGCTGTCTATGCTGCAGATTTCAGGCTACGTGCAGACGCATGTCAAAATGAGACTCTGGGGTAGAAAAATCAGCTAAAAACCCTGTCCTTGGGCTGGAAGTGTCTTTAAGTCCATCATCTTGTTTTGCCTCAAAGTGAAAAGTAGCTACTGATTGTCCTGATGTGATTATTTAGTTGTATTTGAGAACCTGAATTAAAACACCCAGGCTCCTTCTGTGCTCAGCTGAATAACCTGGTGGGGGCAGTGGTTCTTCTAAATCTTTTTCTTGGGAGTTAGTCTCTTCTGTCTAATCCTCTTTGCTTGTGCCCCTGGATGCTTTCCTGAAAGTGCTCTTACATTGTCAGGCATGCCGAAACGGTCCTGGATTTCACTGACAAGTTTGACTTGCTTTCGAGTTGCTAGCTTTCTTGGGGAGCCAAGGGGCAGAATTTAATACCCACCTGGCACTCCATATGCTTCAAGGATTTCTCCCACACTATCCCACAAACCAAAGTTTACCAAGACAGGCACACAGCCTAGAGAGAGGTGGGGGGCACACAACAGGATTAGGAGGGGATTATGCCCCACCCCCATCCTTCCTGAATTGGGGGTGGATTAGTCACTGGGGCCTGACGCTGATACACGTTTAGAAGGTTTAAATTACCAAACTAGGGCAGGGGGGCCGGGGGCGGGGGGGGGGGGGAAGGAGGAGGACTCTAGCAGACATCTGGGTCTGTAAGTCACTTTTAGGAAAAGAGAATCCTAATGCAGAATGGGGACATAGGAAGAAAAATTTGCAAGATGAACCCCTCTGAATTGTGACTTCCTTGCATCACGGTTGCTGCAGGGCACCAAGAAGAGGTAAAAACACCAAAGGATGAATCTCTTTATCACTCCTGCACCCCAGACCTCAGCTTCTTATTGAAGATAAATTACATGAGCACGTAACATGATGTGGAGGTGGGCCTTCATTTCCCATTCTTTGTTTTTTTCATGTTTATTTATTTTGAGAGAGAGCACACAAGAAGGGAAGGGGCAGAGGTGGGGGGAGAGGGAGAATCCCAAGCAGGCTCCGCGCTGCCAGCTCAGAGCCCAGTGCAGGGCTCGAACCCACAAATCGTGAGATTATGACATGAGCCGAAACCGAGAGTCGGACAGTCAAGCGACTGAGTCACCCAGGTGCCCCTCCCATATTCTGAACACTGTCGTTCTATCCAGTACCAGGACACTGCCTTCCCAGAGGAGTTTCTCAATGTGTGGCCTATGCAGCTGGCATCAGAACCCGCTGGGGAGCCTTGTTAAACATGCAGATTCCCCACCCTGCCTCTAGAGATTCTCATTCAGCCACCGGGAGGGGGCCTGGGAACGTGCCTCTCTGACAAGCTCCTAAGGGACACTGATGCTCACCAAGGCTGAGAACAGTGGGGTCTCCAAGGCCTGCACCTGTATGATATCAAGGGATATCTACAGTTAGATAAGGGGCACATCTAGGGTGGTGGCCTTGACCGTGTACATCCAGAGGCATAAGTAATGTCTCTTCCATCACATGCTCCTCTACCCTGCAAGATTCTTTCGGCTGGTCTAGAAATTAAGTTGACATTAATAGAAGAAAAAAAAAGTTCAATAACATGCATACTGCCTGTATACGTGAGAGAGACCCACTCCCCACAATGATCTAAGGTATCACTTTAAATACCATCTCCAGCTAAAGACAAAAGAAGGTGTTGGGGATGAGCGTCTCATTTATGAGAGGCTCCCGGGGAAAGCACAGGAAACAAGAGTAGATTTAAGTCCATGCTGTCTCTATTGATAACAGTTTCTGGAGATTTATTTATCCATCCCCCTCTTTCTGCTTGTGACAGAGAGAGACATCCTTACAAAAGGGTGTTTCCCTTATATGTATGAATATCTCTTACAAAAGGGTAAATTCTCAGTTTTCAGAGCATCTCTCATGTCTGAAGGTTCTTTTTTTTTTAATTTTTTTTAACGTTTATTTATTTTTGGGACAGAGACAGAGCACGAACGGGGGAGGGGCAGAGAGAGAGGGAGACACAGAATCGGAAACAGGCTCCAGGCTCTGAGCCATCAGCCTAGAGCCTGACGCGGGGCTCGAACTCACGGACCGCGAGATCGTGACCTGGCTGAAGTCGGACGCTTAACCGACTGCGCCACCCAGGCGCCCCTCATGTCTGCAGTTTCTTAAAAATAACCAGCTGAAAATAATCAGTGCGCCAAAGAGGCATATCTTGGGGTGGCAAGATTTGCTCCCCTATACCTTCCTCAGTGCTCATACTCATCCACTGTGACTTTAGGCGCTCCAGCAATATTCCTGTCAAAAGTGTGTTCCATATAGGCCCCCTGTTCAAGATAAACAATTTCACTATAAAAGACTAATTCTGGTTAATAAATCATTGTGTTTTTTAAGCTTTTCCCTTTAATATGTAAATACATACAGGAAAAGTTGTGAGCTCAAGCTTCAGAACAATCTGCCCCCTCTGCTTACAGCTGTGTGACCGTGGGTCAATAGCTTGCCCTCTCCGTGCCTCCATTTCCTTTTCCGTAAAATGGGTATCATAATAACACCCACCTTTAGGACTCAGGAGGAGATCTGATAAAATGGTGCAGGTTGGCCCCTCACACGCTGCCTGAGACTTAAATGAGTTCAGTGACTATTAGCAGTGAGTGAGTTTTCTCAGAAAACCCAGGATCCACACCACCTCCACCTCTGGGGTTTACTGGCAAATGATGTCATTCCCAGTGAAATACCACATCCATTCATTCAATAAATAGTAGCTGAGAACCTACTGTGTGCTAAGCTGTCCTCTGGACAAGGGAGATGCAGCTGAGAACAAACAAGGACCCTGTTCCCATCATTTATTTAAGAAATATCCATGAAATACCTACTTTGCTCCAAAGACTGTGCCAAGTGCCAGGGGAAAGCAGTGAAAAGCAGACATAGTCTCTGTCCTGAGAGATGAAAGTCAAGGTGGGAGAGACATTAAGAAATCGGGAGCGCCTGTTTGGCTCAGTAGGAACATGCAACTCTTTTTTTTTTTTTTTTTTAATTTACATCCAAATTAGTTTGCATATAGTGCAGCAACGATTTCAGGAGTAGATTCCTTAATGCCCCTTACCCATTTAGCCCAACCCCCCTCCCACAGCCCCTCCAGTAACCCTCTGTTTGTTCTCTATATTTATGAGTCTCTGGTGTATTGTCCCCATCCCTGTTTTGATATTATTTTTGTTTCCCTTTCCTTATGTTCATTTGTTTTGACTTTTAAAGTCCTCATATGAGTGAAGTCATATATTTGTCTTTCTCTAATTTCACTTAGAATAGCCTCCAGTTCCATCCACATGGTTGCAAATGGCAAGATTTCATTCTTTTTGACTGCTGATTAATACTCCATTGTATATATATACCACATCTTCTTTATCCATTTATCCATCAGTGGGCATTTGGGCTCTTTCCATACTTTGGCTATTGTTGATAGTGCTGCTGTAAACATTGGGGTGCATGTGTCCCTTCGATACAGCACACCTGTATTCCTTGGATAACTACCTAATAGTGCAATTGCTGAGTCGTAGGGTAGTTCTATTTTTAGTTTTTTGAGGAACCTCCACACTGTTTTCCAGAGTGGCTGCACCAGCTTGCATTCCCACCAGCAGTGCAAAAGAGATCCTCTTTCTCCACATCCTCGCCAACATCTGTTGTTGCCTGAGTTGTTAATGTTGGCCATTCTGACAGGTGTGAGGTGGTATCTCATTGTGGTTTTGATTTGTATTTCCCTGATGATGAGTGATGTGGAGCATTTTTTCATGTGTCGGTTGGCCATCTGGATGTCTTTGGAGAAGTGTCTATTCATGTCTTATGCACATTTCTTCACTGGATTATTTGTTTTTTGGGTGTTGCTTTTGATAAGTTCTTTATAGATTTTGGATACTAACCCTTTATGTGATATGTCATTTGCAAATATCTTCTCCCATTCTGTCGGTTGCCTTTTAGTTTTGCTGATTGTTTCCTTTGCGGAGCATGCAACTCTTGATCTCGGGGTTTTGAGTTTGAGCTCCATGTTAGTTGCAGAGAGTACTCAAAAATAAAACTTGGAAAAAAAAAAGAAAAGAAACAGTTATAATCAATCAGATTGCACTTGTGGTGGGAAAGACGGGGTGCACTGCTTAGACATGGTATTCTTTCCTTCAGTCGATAAGCTGACAGTAATGCATAAGCATTGTTCATGCTCTGGATGAAAGAAACACAAGATACTTGCTATATTCCATGTCCTTCCAGAGCTTAGAGCTCTCAGTCAAAGACTGCTGAATGCATGAAAAAAATAAGCAGCAACAGAAGAGGCATCTTTGGGAAATGTGTGCTCAAAAGCTGAAAAAAGTG